AACATGGTGAAACCCAATCCCTACTAAAAAAAAAAAATTAGCTGGGCGTCGTGGCATGTACCTGTGGTCCTAGCTACTCGGGAGGCTGAGGTGGAAGAATCGCTTGAACCCAAGAGGCGGAGGTCGCAGTGAGCCGAGACTGCACCCCAGCCTGGTGACAGAGGAAGACTCCATCTCAAAAAAAAAAAAATATATATATATATATATATAAAACAATAAAGCTGGCCACACTGACTGCCTCTTCCTCTCACAAAAGATTTCTCTGCAGCATATGATGCTGATGGCAGCATTTTGTCCACAGAAGTTCAGGAGTTCTTTCACAATTGGAAAATCCTCTCAAACCTACTGCTGCTGTACCAGCCAAGTTTATGGAATATTCTAAATCTTCACCAGGAGCAGATTCCATCTCAAGAAAGCTCACGCCATAATCCCAGCACCCTTGGACGCCACGGCTGCCGGCGGACGGATCACTTGAGCTCGGGAGTTTGAGACCTGCCTGGCCGACATGGTGGAACCCCATCTCTACTACAGATACAAAAACTAGCCGGGCGTGGTGGCAGGCGCCTGTCATCCCAGCTACTTAGGAGGCTGAGGTGGGAGAATCACTTGAACCTGGGACCTGGGAGTTGCAGTGAGCTGAGATCACCCCACTGCATTCCAGCATGGGCAACAGAGTGAGACTCCCGTCTCAAAAAAAAGTCACCTGACCTCACTGAGTTAACCAATGGAGACCTCCCGTGTCCCACCATTGCACAGCGTGCCCCACAGCGCCGTGTGTGTGTGTGTGTGTGTGTGTGTGTGTGTGTTGCGGGGGAGGTGGTGGCTGGTGCTCTGAGTATCTTTCACTTCCCAGAGGTGAACTCGGTGTCCGACAGGCCCTGTAGGAGTGTCTGATTGCCTCTGTGCAGGAGGGAAGGAGCGGGTCATGCCTGGGACCTGAGAGGTGGGTCTCCGGAAGCGTACACTGTGCTGCTGACTGGCCTGCTTCCTGTCTGATTGAAATTGGTGGCTTACAGCCAAGACCTTGTCACTTGCAGTGAGGAGCCCATATGGGGATGCCACGATTTCCCCTCAGCCCGCTCTATCGTGAACGCCTCCTGCTAGGTGGCAGAGCTTAGCCCATGAATCAGGGCATACCCTACATTCCAAACCTTAAGAGCAATCTTGTCACCAAAACTCAGCCGGTCACTCCCAGTGTAAGTTAAAGAAAAACTGCCAACTACGTGACCACTCACATATGAACCCGGAACAGCCGCCAACCAGGCAGAATTCCCAAATATTTGCTACTTCATCCTCAGCGCTTTCCCGTTTCACACGTCGCCTGTGAAAATCCAGTGTGCGCTATACTTAACGTTATATGCACTTTCTGTTCATATACTTAGTTAAAAAGGCATTTTAGATGAACTTATGATCTATTTACTTATTTAGAGACAGGGTCTCACTCTGTCACCCAGGCTGGAGTGAGCGCTGCAGTCTCAGCTCACTGCAGCCTCCACCTTCAGGGTTCAAGTGATTCTCCTGCCTTAGCCTCCCGAGGAGCTGGGATTATAGGCATGCGCCACGACGCACAGCTGATTTTTTGGTGTTTTGGTAGCAGTGGGGTTTCACCATGTTGCCCAGGCTGGTCTTCAACTCCTGACCTCAAATGATCCGCCTGCACTGGCCTCCCAAAATGTTGGGATACAGGCGTGAGCCACCGCGCCTGGCCTGAATACAGCTGTAAGTAGAACAGGCACAGGGTCTCTGCACCCAGAGTCACCCTGCTGCATCTCCCCCTTCGGTGGGACTCAGGCGTTCAGCACCACAATACTTTCTCTAGACGGCGCCTCATAAACACAAGGGGTCTCCTGCCTCAGCCTGTCCCTGGATTCCCATTCATGGAGAGTGTAAAAGCTCCCCATTGACACTAACATGTAGCCCGTTGGGGCTGGTTGTGTCAGAGGGCGGCAGGCGGGGAGGGAAAGGGTAACAGCCATCAGACCTGTATGGGGCGGGATCAGAAGGAAAAGCACACTGGAGTTGGCCAGGACCCAGCAGAAGTGGGCGAGAGCGGTCAGCTCCGGGGCGGTGTATAAAACTGGGGGTGGGCTAGGGGCAGTGGCTCACGCCTGAAATCCCAGCACTTTGGGAGGCTGAGTGGGTGGATCACGAGGTCAGGAGTTTAAGACCAGCCTGACCAATATGGTGAAACCCTGTCTCTACTAAAAATACAGAAATTAGCCAGGTGTGGTGGCATGCACCTGTAATCCCAGCTACTCGGGAGGCTGAGGCAGGAGAATCTTGTGAACCTAGGCGGTGGAGGTTGCGGTGAGCCGAGATTCCGCCATCGCACTCCAGCCTGGGCGACAGAGTGAGACTCTGTCTCAAATAAAAAAACAAAAACCAAAAACTGGGGGTGGGACTATTTCTTTTTTTTTTTTTGAGACAGAGTTTCGCTCTTGTTACCCAGGCTGGAGTGCAATGGCACGATCTCGGCTCACTGCAACCTCCGCCTCCCGGGTTCAGGCAATTCTCCTGCCTCAGCCTCCTGAATAGCTGGGATTACAGGCACGTGCCACCATGCTCAGCTAATTTTTTGTATTTTTAGTAGAGACGGGGTTTCACCCTGTTGACCAGGATGGTCTTGATCTCTTGACCTCGTGATCCACCCGCCTCGGCCTCCCACAGTGCTGGGATTACAGGTGTGAGCCACCACGCCCGGCCTGGGACTATTTCAGATACTCCAAATTCCATACTGAGTGAACTGGGTAAGTTTAAAAATAAGATAAAGACATAACTAGGGGAGCTGATAAGTTCAAAAATAAAAAGGAAGACATCCTTTCAGGGGCTGTGGCCGTACTGTCCAGGAGGGAAGCCTGGCCAGACACGGTGCTGGTGCTGGACTCTGCCCGCACATACCCCGGCACCTTCCCCACAGGGTGTCAGAAAAGGGAGCCCCAACGGCCGTTTCTAACATGTTCTTCACTCTTTTTTTTTTTTTTAAGACGGGGTTTCACTCCCGACCTCAGGTGATCCGCCCACCTTGGCCTCCGAAGTGCTGGGATTACAGACGTGAGCCACCACGCCGGGTCTACATTTTCTTCACTCTTATGAGAACTGCCAGGAACAAATGTTAAGAGGTCATGGCATAGAAAAGAATGAAGTGAAACCAGAACATTTTAGCAGCTTTCCCAAAAATGTAATTCTTGCAGCAGTCAAGACAGCCAGGCCAGGAATCAGCTGGCAGCACCCTTCTAGCTTCCCGTGACGAGTTCTAAACCTCACATCCAGCCTCCAAAACTTAGAAGGTTAAGTAATCAGCTACTGGTCACATGTACAGAATGAGGGCCACAGCCTGGGGGGCTGCCTGCCGGCCCGTGTGTGTGTGTGTGTGTGTGTGCGCGCGCGCGCGCGCGCGGGAACCACCTTATTTTTGAGACGGAGATTCCTTTTCTTTCCCCCTTTTTGAGAGTTTCACTCTTGTTGCCCAGGCTGGAGGGCAGTGGCGCGATCTCAGCTTACTGCAACCTCTGTCTCCTGGGTTCATGCGATCCTCCTGCCTCAGCCTCCCTAGTAGCTGGGATTACAGGTGCGCGCCACCATGTCCTGCTAATTTTTGTATTTTTAGTAAAGACGAGGGTTCACCATGTTGGCCAGGCTGGTCTTGAACCCCTGACCTCAGGTGATCTGCCCTCTGCGGTTTCCCAAAGTGCTGGGATTACAGGCTTAAGCCACTGCACCCCGCCGGACCACCTTTAAAGATGAACAGGCTGAGTGCAGTGGCTCATGCCAGTAATTCCAGCACTATGGGAGGCTGAGGCCGGAGGATCACTTGAGCTCAGTACACGACCAGCCTGAGCACACAGGGAGCCCTCTTCCGTACCTACAACAGAAGAATCAGCCGGGCGTGGTGGCACCTGCGGTCCCGGCTCCTCGGGAGGCTGAGGTGGGAGGGTCACTGGAGCCGGGAAGCGGAGGCTGCAGTGAGCTGGGAGCGCCATTGCAGTGCAGCCTGGGCGGCGGAGCGAGACCCGAAAGAAGTAAGAAAGGCAGTCAGAGCAGAGGTTTAACACGTCGCTAAAGAACGAATGTGGCAGCTTCCTTACTTGCCATCTTCATCTGCCAAAATGTCAATTCTGCGAATGGGGGACTCGTCAAAAACTTAAACCCACTTTTCGTGGAGGCGGGGGCGCTCTGCGTTTCCCAGGCTGGTCTGGAAAGCGGCCTGCGCCCCCAGCGCGCAGCACCGTCCGGATGTCGGCCGCAGAGGGGGCGCGGGAGCCGCTCGGGCCGCGCTCAGAGCGCCGGGGCGAGGCCGAAGCTCCGCGAGCCTTGCGGGCGGGAGTCCCACGAGCACGGGCGGCGAGGACGCGGGGCCGCGGCTCCCTCGGGGGTCGCGAGCTCGGCACAAACGAGCTCCTCTACCGAGGTGGCGACCCCAACACGCGGAGCTCCTCTCGGATCCCTCTGGCCCGAGGCGGCCACTTTCCCTGGGGGCCGCGCGCTGCACCCCAGCAAGGCTCGACCCGCGCCTGGGATTCCGCTTCCAACGGCGCCGCAGCTCCGGGCTCCGGCCTCCTCCTCCCAGGATTCTTTTTATTTATTTATTTATTTTTAATTTTCCTTTTTTTAAATTATTTTTTTAAAGACGGGGTTTCACCGCGTTGGTCAGGCTGGTCTTGAACTCCCGACCTCAGGTGATCCGCCCGCCTTGGCCTCCAAAGTGCTGGGATTACAGGCGTGAGCCACCGCGCCCAGGAGACACGTCGGCCCGCGGGCGGCCCACAACACGCACCGGCGCTTACCAGGCCCCGCCCCAGCGCCCACCAGGCCCCGCCTACCAGGGGAGGCCCCGCCCCCAAAGGAGACTTCCGGACCCCGAACCGAGCCGCGCTCACCAGAGCCTGCCCGGGCACCAACACTGTGCCTCGCCAGGCCCCGCCCCTTCACCGAGCCCCGCCCACCAGTCCCCGTCCCCGAACGAGCCCTGCCCGCCAGGCCCCGCCCCTTCGCCGAGCGCTGCCCACCAGTCCCCGCCCCCGGCATCGAGCCACGCCCACCCTCCGGCTCCAGCACGCTTGCGCCGCTGACTCTGGCGGCTGGAGCGGTCGACTCATTCATCCCGTTCCGCACGCTCGAGAAGGAAGTCGGCCATCTAGCTCTCGGTCTCCAGGCCCGCGACCGTCCGCCAGCCGTCCCGAGGTCAGTAGCGCCAGCGGTGCGTCAGCCTGTAGCCAGGCCTCCCCGCGCCACCCTTGGTGGGGCTTCCTTTGGACGCGCGCTCGGCGCTACGGAGGCCCCTGCCGCGCCGGCAAGACACGTGCTTCCGCGGCGGGGCAGGGTCGGGGAGGCCGGGGCAGGGGCCGGCTAGGTGGGCAGCGGCTCGGCCCGGCGGCGGTGGCTCGCCCTGATGACGCCATCGTCACGAGCTGCCCCGAGGGGCGCGCCGGAAGTCCTGCGCGGGGGCGCGGCTGCGCCTGCGTGGTTCGTCCTCGCGCGCCGAGCACCTGGTTCCGTGGGTGTCGGCGAGCCGCGTGACCACCGCTGGCCGCGCCGAGCGCCCCTCCCCAAATCCCGTAAGCCGTGACCCTCTTCCCCCAAAGAAGCGGCCTTCCGGGAATGACCGGCCTGGCGAAGACCCGCTCGGCGCCCTCCACTGGGCGTTGGGGAAAGGTGGGCGGTCTCGGTCGGGGAAGGAGGGTCCCCCGCCCTTCGTTGCGGAGCTTCGCCCCGCGCCACCCGGGGACGGGATGTCGGGCCGCGAGGCTGCCGCCTGGTGCTGCGCGGAGGAGAACGTCACTGGACGGCGCTGGGGGGCTGGCTCGGGGCTGTCGCCAGGGCTGGCGGAGACGACGGAGAGGCCCCAGCCAAGGTGCCCACGCGCCTCGGGAAGCCGGAGGGCGGTTTGGCGGTGTTTCAGAAGGGCCTTGGAACCGGGCGGGCCCTCTTCTAGAATGGCGGAAAGCCTAAAAATCCGAAGTGAGTTTTAAATGTCTTAGTGATTAGCTGAGTAAACCGCAGACAAGCAGGAGACTGACTACACAGGATGTGGCCATTGAGAGTTACTTTGGGGCCGGGCGCGGTGGCTCAAGCCTGTAATCCCAGCACTTTGAGAGCCCGAGGCGGGCGGATCATCTGAGGTCAGGAGTTCGAGACCAGCCTGGCCAACATGGTTAAAACCCGTCTGTACTATAAATACAGAAATTAGCCGGTGTGTGGCAGGGGCCTGTTACCCCAGCTACTCAGGAGCTGAGGCAGGAGAATCGCTTGAAATCAGGAGGCGGAGTTTGTAGTGAGCCGAGATTGCACCACTGCACCCCAGCCTGAACAATAGTGAAACTCCGTCTCAAAAAAAAAAAAAAAGTTACATTGGGTTGGGTGCTCTGGTAATCCCAGCACTTTCGGAGGCTGAGGCGGGCGGATCGCTTGAGCCCAGGAGCTCCAGACCAGCCTGGCCAGTTTAGTGGTGCACGCCCATCGCTACAAACAGTAGAAAAAATTAGCCAGTTGTGTGGTGCCCGACAGTACTTGGGATGCTGGGGCAGGAGGATCACTTGAGCCCTGGAGGAGGATGCTGCGGTTAGCTATGTTCTCATCCCTGCTATAAAAAATTTGCCACAGATAGGTGGTTTTATAGGCCTGGAGCTCAGAAGGCCAAAGTGGGTTTTAGGAGGTTAAAGTCAAGGTATTGGCAAGGCCAGTCCTGGAGGTTCCCAAGGAGAATCTACTTTCCCGCTTTCAGCTTCTGGAGGTGACCTCCTTCCATCGTGAAAACCTGTCTTCCCTGCCTCCTGCATAGGAACCCTCATGATTTTATGCAGGTCACCCAGACACCCCAGGGTAGTCTTAGCGTCTCAACATTTGCAAAGTCTCTTTTAAGATGACAGCAGGGGTTTGGAGATTAGGATGTGGACATCTTTCAGGGCCATTTTTATTTTTAAAAACTACTGTTGATAAGAATAGACCAGGCCTGGTGGCTCACGCCTGTAATCCCAGCACTTTGGGAGGCCGAGGCGGGTGGATCATGAGGTCAAGAGATGGAGACCATCCTGGTGAACATGGCAAAACCCTGTCTCTACTAAAAATACAAAAATTAGCTGGGCATGGTGGCGCACGCCTGTAGTCCCAGCTGCTTGGGAGGCTGCGGCAGGAGAATTGCCTGAACCCAGGAGGCGGAGGTTGCGGTGAGCCGAGATCGCGCCATTGCACTCCAGCCTGGGTAACTAGTGAAAGTCTGTCTCAAAAAAAAAAAAAAAAAGAATGGTTAGTGTAAAATATTTGAAGAGATTTATTCTGAGCCAGATATGAGTGAGTGTGGCCGGTGACACAGCTCTCAGGAGATCATGAGAATATGTGTTGAGGTTGTTGGGGCAGCTCGGTTTTTTTTTTTTTTTTTTGAGATGGAGTTTCACTCATGTTACCCAGGCTGGAGTGCAGTGGCGCGATCTCGGCTCACCGCAACCTCCGCCTCCTGGGTTCAGGCAATTCTCCTGCCTCAGCCTCCTGAGTAGCTGGGATTACAGGCACGCGCCACCATGCCCAGCTAATGTTTTGTATTTTTAGTAGAGACGGGGTTTCACCATGTTGACCAGGATGGTCTCGATCTCTTGACCTCGTGATCCACCCGCCTCGGCCTCCCAAAGTGCTGGGATTACAGGCTTGAGCCACTGCGCCCGGCCTCGGGTTTTTTTTTTTTAATAAATTCTGCACTGTCACTTTTCATGCAGCTTGGTTTTATGTATTTTAGAGAGACGTGAGACATCCACGGAACACACTTAAGATACATTTGTTGTACTGGCCTGAGCATAGAAAGTCAACACCAAGACAAAATTACGCCAAATTGCAGGGTCTTTATTGCTGTCGGCCACAGAGGACTCGCGTCTCTCCAACCCGCGGCCCCGAAAGGAGGGTGTCAAGACCTTTTATACCCGTAAAACCACCTCGGGAGTGAGGGGCTTCAGACGTTCTGAGGGCTGGTGGATTCTGTAAATCACCTCCTGGGCAGAGATGAGGGTGAGGGGCTCCGGACACCCCGAGGGCCAGGGGACTTTTGACATTCTGATTGTTACTTAAGTGGTTCACGAAAGTCAAGATTAGCATTTGTTTACACATTGTCTGGGTAGGAAGGAAATTACAGTCCTTAATTACTTATTCACATTTGGGTTATAGAGAGCAGTTTCAACAGAAAGCCGAGGTATGGCTGAGGTACGCAGTTTCACGGGGCTTTTACCAGGTCGCACATTGGTTTGATCCAGAAAGGCGGGACCAGACAAAAGATTTTTGAACATGTTTCCCAAGCTCAGGCATGAAGAACTCTTGCCTGATGGAAACGGAGGGTGTTACAAAGTTTTCAGGACGGCCCAGCTGCTCTCCGAAAACCCTCCTCACAGTCTCGCCCATTTCACCTCAGCCACAACAAATTATCATCAACTGTTGCCATCGGTCTCCAGTCTGGCAGCAAAAAGGGGTGTCTCAGGTTTGCTTTATTTCAGTGTTTAGGGAATTCCTGGAATCCGGCCTGCCTGTGGGAAGGGGCAGGGCCAGTCCCTCCTGGGCGGTCGGGGCTGAGGGAGCTGGAGGGACGACTGGGGAAGGTGGGTGCAGGTGCCTGTTCTGGGAGGTTAAATGGAAAGTCTAGTTGGGGCCAGACTGTGGCTAACGGGGTGCGGCCGTCAGGCTTCCCCCTGGGCCCGGTGGGGAGTGGGAAGGCCGGGTAGTAACTGGGACGAGCCCGGGGGCTGAGTGGGCCCCGAGGGTCAGGTGGGGAGAACCAGCGGGCTCGCGCGGCCCCCAGGGTGGACTCCCCGCCCCCGCCTGTGCGGAATGACCCCCGGGCGGCTCTGGCCTCGAGTCTGCGGCGGCGCGGGGTCAGCGTCCTGGCCTGAGCTGGCGTGGGCGGGGACGGAGAGGAGGGGACAGCCCCTCTGTGTTTTTCTGAGGTCCCATCCCAGCCTTTTAGTACGCGGCAGGCTGTCCAGAACTAGCGGGTTCAGGGACCCGACGCGGGGTGGGGGCGGGGGTCACAGGGTCCAGACCCTTTGCGTGTCACCTGAGCGTGGCCCGTGTCTCCCTACAGTGGGGCCCCTGTGCCCCCAGTGGTCGCTGTGTCCACGACCTGGTCACATCGGAATGGAAGGACCTGAAGTGGCCTCCAGACGGCTCCCTCCCATGTGGCTCCCCAGGGTGGGGCTCAGGCCTCGGGCCCTGCGGAGACCTCCCGCAAGGTTGAGAAGGTCTGGTCTGTGGATAAGGGACCGTCAGGGCCTCAACCATAGCAGGCTGCCGGCTGGCAGTGGGGGCCTCCTCCAGGCACAGAGAAGGGCGGACACACCCACATTCTCATGGGGTCTTAAGTGGGCTCAGTCCTGCACAGGTTGAGATGTGCCTCCTGGCTCCAGGGTGCAGCCCTGGGGCTACAGCAGGGTCTGGCCAAGCCTGAGTGGTGGGGACCAAGCCCGTCCCACAGCCCTAGTCTCAGATGGTCACGGGAGTGCTGGCCACCCTGAGCCCCCACCAAGCTTTCTCAGGAGGAAGACACCTTGGGGTCACCTTCGTCTGGGTGCAGAGGACACAGGACTGTCAGGCTGATTCGGGGAGCGTGTGCAGCCTGGGGAGCCGCCTAAGGCTCTGCTTCCCCCCCTTCCGCCCACAGTGCCTCCGGATGACTCGATTCTGGAGTCAGGGTTTGGGCGGCCACGCCCTGGTCGGGTTTGCTCACACGCTTGGGGCCGGGTGGATTCTGTTCCTCCATGTGGGGCCGTGGGGTGTCACCGCCCTTTGCCACAGCGTCCTTGCAGGCCCGGCGCTGAGGCGTGTGGACCCGAACGCAGCCTTGCTCTTTGCTCCCGGCTGGTACCAGGGGCCTCTTCCCTCCACTCAGAGTGGACTGGCGGCCTCAGAACCATCCCTGGGAGGGGTGCCAGGCACACAGCCTCAGGAAGCCGGGGTTTTGGGGCGGCGGCAGCCTCTGCGCTGTACTGTGTGCTGTCTTTGTGAAGGGCAGCTGGGGTTTCGTCATTCCCGGAGTGCGTCCGGCCCGCTTTCTGTGGTTCTTGGATGAGAGCCCTCTCCCTACTGCACCCCCCCCAGCATGGCATCAGGACTGCTACCTCCAGGGTCCCCCCTCCTCTCCAGGTTCCCGCCCTGCTGAGGCCCCCAGGCCAGTGTTTGGCAGGTGCTCTGGGAATGTATCCCCCTACCAGGCTTTGGGGTGGCTGTCTCAGCCTGACCATTTTCTTCCCCAGGCCCCTGGCAGGTGGGTGCCTGAGCTGGGCTCTCAGGACAGCCGGTCTCATTCATTCAGGCTCTGTGCCTGTCCCTGGGGAGGTTTCAGGGTGTGGCAGCTGTGCCCATCCCCGGCTGACCTCCCAGTTAGCCTGACAGCCGATCCTCTGTGTAGGCTGGCGTGCTGTGGGGCAGGGAACCTGCCCTGGCCTGGTGCAGAGTCCCCGGCCCCAGAAGGGGGCATGGAAGCTGACACCCTGAGTGCCCACCCCACCTGCCCTGCCCGGGACACTGTGGCTGGTGCCCCTCCTGCCAGCTGTTTCAGGGCTGTGGAGCCTGGTCGTGTGGGGGGTGCTGGGGTCCAGGATCCCGGCATCCTGGGAGGTCTCCGGCTTTATGGGCAGCCTGCCTGGACCACCCAGTCCGCCTGTCCCCAGAGTGAGGCACAGGCCCCCTTGCTCCCCTGCCCAGGTCTCCGACCACCCACCCCTACCCTGTCCTTGTCCAGGCAAATGAGAGGTCGGGCTTCCTGGGCTGCTGCTGTCCCTGCCTCTGTGGGGCAGGAGGAGGTGCCCACAGGCTGGGTGGCATCAGTCAGGAGGTGGGCTGGCATCTGTGTCCCCAAGTTCTGCTGCCCATGGTGGCCTTTCCAGGGGTGGGTCTGGTCCCTGCTCCTGGAGGCAAAGGTGGGAAGTGCTGGCCCGGGAGAGGCTGTGGCTCCTCCTGAAGCGTCAGCCCTGTGGCAGAATTTGCAGACTCTCCAGCCGGTAAAACGATGAGAGGATTCCGCCAAGACGTTCTCTTCCCTCTGCCCCTAACCCAGGCCACTCCCCACCTCTGCCATGAGTGTGGACATGCAGTGCGTGGACATCCAGTGCGAGGAGCTGAGCGACGCTCGGTGGGCCGAGCTGCTCCCCCTGCTGCAGCGGTGCCAGGCGGTCAGGTACACTTGCCCTCGGGAGGCTTCGGGGCACCGGCAGGGGCAGGCTTGCGGGTGGCAGCTCCCTCTGAAGGGTGCGCAGCTGTGGAACGCCTTGTTTATAGATGGGGAGTGTGAATTCCGTGCAGCCTCCACGTGTGTGAAATGTGATTCTTGTGTTGCTTTTCAACCGTTTGGGAATGTAACATCAATCTGGGCTCATGCAGCGCGGGCCAAGGTGGGCGGGCACCAGCCAGCAGGTCTCTGGCTCCAGTGTCTGGCCCCTCTTCCTCTCCTGGGAACACAAGGGCAGGACACAGCTTGGGCCCCCTTAGTGGGCATCCGTGGGCACTGGCTGTCCCTGCCAAGCTGGGGGATGGGAGTCCTTGGCCCTCAAGGTCCTCACAAACCTAGCGGCTTCACAGCAGGACACGAGCGCCTGCGTGGGCCTCATCTTTTCACTTTTTAACTGGTTATCTGAAGTAGCATCAGGCTGGCAGAGGAGTTGGGAGGACCGCACTGTTCTCCCTGGTGAGGCGGTCCTGTGTGTGTGGGACCCTGGTGCCGGCCCAGCACCTCCAGGCCGTCTCCTCTCCCACCCTGCCCTTTTCCGCTAACTGTCCTCCGTCTCCGTAGCCCTCTCCCCTCTCCCTTCTGTGACCGTCCCCTCATTTGGTGGTCCGAGTGTCAGGCCAGGCGGACGTAGGGTGTCCTCTGTTGGGGTGTGTCTGATGGTTTCCCCTGGTGGAAGCCACGCACTTTTGCGAGGAACTCGAGGTGCTGTAGGGCCTGCGGGGCACATCCTGACGCCCTCTCCGCTGTGACGTCACGCTTTTCTTTCTGTGACTGATCAGTGCCTTCGAGAGATACTTTAAATTCTTATTTTTAGAGACGGGGCCTCGCTCTGTTGTCCAGGCTGGAGTGGCTCAATCGTGGCTCACTGCAGCCTCCCCCTCCTGGGCTCAAGCGATCCTCCTGCCTCAACCTCCCGAGTTCTAGCACCACAGGTGCACCCCTGGTTGCTGAGGTGCGGGCTGGCGGGGCTGCTGAGGCTCTGCTCACCCCGCGTCTGCGTTCAACCTGCCGCATTCAGCACACATCAGAGGCTCCTGCCGGACAGTGGTTCCCGTGACATCTGTCTCGTTAGGATTTTGTGATTTTTTTCCTTTTTTTTTTTTTTTTTTTTTTTTTTTTTTTTTTTTTTTTTTTTTTTTTTGAGACAGGGTCGTGCTCTGTCACCCAGAATGGAGCACCATGGCTTGACCTCGGGTCACCACAGCCTCCGCCTCCCGGGTTCAAGCGATTCCCCTGCCTCAGCCTGTCTAGTAGCTGGGATTATAGGTGCACGCCAGCATGCCTGGCTGATTTTTGTATTTTTCGTAGAGATGGGGTTTCACCTTGTTGGTCAGGCTGGTCTCGAGCTCCTGACCTCGTGGTCCGCCTGCCTCGGCCTCCCAAAGTGCTGGGATTACTAGCGTGAGCCATCGCGCCTGGTCCTCTTCTCCACATTTATCAGTTGTCATTCTTTTGTGAGCAAGACCTGGTTTTCTTCTTAGCTGCATTTATTCAGTTACTCATCAATCAGGAAGCACTTGAGTACGTTCACTGATCACACTAGAAGCTGGTGTTACCGTTTTTAGACGTGCCTGTTCCAGGCAGCTCCCGTAGCTGTTTCCTCGGACAGGTTTGCTTTTTCCCTGGAGACAGACCTGGAGGTCAGTGCCGCACGGTCGGAGTGAAGAACGCGTTAGGCCAGGCACACGTCTGCCCGCGTGCGAGCATCAGGGAACTTTCACAGCTCACGTTTCGCTTCTACAACGTCCCGTGCGACTCGCCGTCCCCCGCGCGTGGGGGGTGGTGGGGTCTGAGGCCGGCGCCAGCCGTGGCCCACCTGACCCTGGGTTCCGGTCGCAGGCTGGACGACTGTGGCCTCACAGAGGCCCAGTGCAAGGACGTCAGCTCTGCCCTCCAGGCCAACCCTGCGCTCACGGAGCTCAACTTGCGCAACAACGAGCTGGGCGATGCCGGCGTGCACCGCGTGCTCCAGGCCCTGCAGAGCTCCTCCTGCAAGATCCAGAAGCTGAGGTGAGGTGGGCCTGCTTTGGTGGCCCGGCGTCGGGGGCAGACAGGTGGTGGCAGCGGGCACTTCCGGCATCAGCCACAGGCAGACAGGCCTGGTGGCCTCACAGCGGTGGGACAGGGCCCCTCCTGCCTTGTCTCAGCTCCTGCGCCCAAGGTCTGGTCCTGCCCGCCATCCCCGGGCTTCCGGCATCCCTGGAATGCTGGCGTCCACAGAGGCCTGAGCCTCTGGCTGGCTCTCCTGGACCCCTGCTGAAGGGGTTTCTGCAGACAAGGCTTCCCTGGGCTGAGCCACACGTATGCCCCCTGCTCCCGGCCTGGAGACCCCAGATCCCGTCCAGGGAAGGAGTAGGTGTAGGCCTGCCGTTTGCAGGGTGCCGCTCCGGGCTCTGGGCTCCAGGCTCCGGGCTCCGGCAGGTGAAGTGGGCAGTAGCTGGCTCAGGGGAGCCCTGCTGACAGCCAGATCTGCTCAGCTTCCAGAGCTGCTACCTGACGGTGGCCGGCTGCGGAGTCCTGTCTGGCACACTGCGTTCCCTGCCCACGCTGCAAGAGCTGCACCTCAGCGACAACCCCATGGGAGATGCGGGCCTGCAGCTGCTCTGTGAGGGACTCCTGGACCCCCAGTGCCGCCTGGAAAAGCTGCAGTGAGTGTGTGCCCTTCCCGGGGTGTGCCCCCACTGCCTGAACTCCAGCAGCCCCTGTACAGCACGGCGTCTGCCAGGAGAGGAGCCGTGATGAGTGGACTCAGGTCACAGGGTCCCTAGGGGGCTCCGTCGTTGCCCTCCCTCCCCCTCCAGTTGCCCTTGGCAAGCAGCAGCTGTCCTGGGACCTGACAGTGGGAACAGGTGTGGCCTTGAGTCAGGCTGCACTCAGCACCCCAGTGTGTGGGGTGCCCGGCCACCGTGAGTTGAACACAGCCGGCATGGCAGGCGGCCCGGCCCTCTGGAGGCTGGTTTCTTTCTCTTGGGCCTGGTTTGGTCCCAGAGTCTGAGGTGGGGCCGTTGGTTAGTGAGGGGTTTCCAGCGTGAATGAATGCCAGTGTCCACAGAGGCCTGAGCCTCTGGCTGGCCGTCCCTGACCAGCCACCCTGGATGAGTCTCTAGGGGGCCCTCAGCACTCCCAGCTGGTGCCCAGGCAGGAGGAGGCTGGCGGAAGAGACGCCAGCACCCCCACACTCCCTGGCATCGTGCCCTCGGCTGACGCACATTCCTGTGTGGCGCTGAGCTCGCTCTGCCTCGCAGGCTGGAATACTGCAGTCTCTCCTCTGCCGGCTGCGAGCACCTGGCCTCGGTGCTCAGGGCCAAGCCAGACTTCAAGGAGCTCACGGTCAGCAACAACGACATCGACGAGGCCGGCGTCCGCACGCTGTGCCAGGGCCTGAAGGACTCCCCCTGCCAGCTGGAGACGCTCAAGTAGGCGCTGGGCCTTGGGGGGTGTGCAGGGTATGGGCGGGGGCGTCCGGTGTGCCTCAGGTGTGACCTGCATCCCAGGCTGGAGAAATGCGGTGCCACCTCGGACAACTGCAGGGACTTGTGCAGCATCTTGGCTTCCAAGGCCTCCCTGCGGGAGCTGGCCCTGGGCAACAACAAGCTGGGCGATGTGGGCATCGCGGAACTATGCCCAGGGCTGCTGCACCCCAGCTCCAGGCTCAGGACCCTGTGGTAAGTCACCTCCCCAAGGCCTCCTCCCAGAGGGTCAGGGGCTCGGGCTGTCCCTGGAGCCCTCCCCCGTCCCTCCCCCACCCCTGGACTCACCCCAGGCCATGCCGCAGTGCTGAGGAAAGTCCACGGGTGTCTGTCTCCAACAGGATCTGGGAGTGTGGTCTCACCGCCAAGAGCTGCGTGGATCTGTGCCGTGTCCTGAGGGCCAAGGACAGCCTGAAGGAGCTCAGCCTGGCTGGCAACAACCTTGGGGACGAGGGTGCCCGGCTGCTGTGTGAGAGCCTGCTGGAGTCTGGCTGCCAGCTGGAGTCTCTGTGGTGAGTGTGGCTGGTGGGATGCGACCCTGTCACCCAAGAGAGGGCCAGGGTGACCGAGGAGGCCAGGGGAGGTGCTGGGCTCAGCTCTGACCTTCAGAATGCACGGGCCGGGGAGCAGCCCGTGGTTTGGTGGGGACACCGCTTGGGGCTGAGGACCAGCGGCAGGTGCTGACAAGCTGGGAGGCTCTCGGATGTTTCTGCTCAGGTCCATGTGGGGCCTTTAGGGGAAGGGCTGGTCGCAGCTGTGGGCCAGCCTGGGCCCCTGCCAGGCGTCAGTCCTTGTCCACGTCCACAGGGTGAAGTCCTGCAGCCTCACAGCTGCCTGCTGCTCCCACTTCAGCTCAGTGCTGGCCCAGAATAAGTTTCTCCTGGAGCTGCAGATAAGCGAGAACAGGCTGGGGGACGCAGGCGTGCAGGAGCTCTGCCAGGGCCTGGGCCAGCCCGGCTCTGTGCTGCGGTCACTCTGGTGAGTGTGTGAGGGACATGAGTATGCATATTTGGGAGCTCATGTGCACGTTTGTGAGCACGAGCATCTGTGTGAGAACACGTGTCAGAGCATGGGTGTTCGTGTGCTGGGGAAGGCAGGGTGGCGGCACCACTCTGGCTTAGTTCTCATTTTAACTTTGATTAGAGTCAGAGGTCTTGGTTCATGAAGCCTGGTAACCTTATGGGGCTCCAGCCTGCCCTGGCCACCCTGTGGTCCATCTTTCTGGAAGCCCCACCCACCTTCCTGCCACACAGGAACCCCGGGTCAGGATGTCTTCCCAGCTTTCCTCCCGTTAAAGCACGTTGTCTTGTGGCTTCCTAAGAACAGGTTCTGCAGAAGGTAACTTTTGGAGGCGTTGTGCATCCGCTCTGCCCTTGGGCCATTCAGCTGGGTATAGAATTCTGGGCTAGAAATTCAGCTGGGTATAGAATTCTGGGCTACAATTTCAGCTGGGTATAGAATTCTGGGCTACAGATGTTCCCGTAGAGTTGGTAGGTGTTTCTGCATCATTTTCTGGCTTCCAGGGAGGACTTTGCTGTTCTGATTCTTAATCTGCTGTGATTTTTTTTTTTTGAAATGGAGTTTAGTCACCCAGACGAGTGTAGTGGTGTGGTCTCTGCTCACAGCAACCTCTGCTTCCCGGGCTCAAGCAGTTCTCCAGACTCAGCCTCCCAAGTAGCTGGGATGATGGGTGCATCACTATGCCTGACTAATTTTTGTATTTTTGGTAGAAATGGGGTTTCACCATGTTGCTCAGGCTGGTCTCAAACTCCTGACCTCAGGTGATCCACCTGCCTTGGCCTCCCAAAGTGCTAGGATGACAGGTGTGAGCCACCATGACCTTGTGTGCAGGATGTGCTTTTTCTCATTGGAAGCTTTTAAGGATGTGTTTGCCCATTGTGTTTGGGGGTTCCATGTGTTTTGCCTTGATGTGTGCCTTGGTTCTTTTATTGTGCTGGATACCTGGTTCTCCTAAGACAGTATTATGCCTTTGGTGGTTGTTTCCTCTCCTTCCTTTTTCTTTTCTTTTCTTTTTTGAGAGTTTCACTCTTATTGCTCAGGCTGGAGTGCAGTGGTGCAATCTCAGCTCACTGCAACCTCCACCTCCCGGGTTTAAGCAACTTTCCTTCCTCAGCCTCCCACTCCCAGCTGATCTTTGTATTTTTAGTAGAGATGGGGTTTCTCCAAATTGGTCAGGTTTAGTAGAAATGGGGTTTCACCATGTTGCTCAGGCTGGTCTTCAACTCCCGACCTCAGGTGATCCGCCCGCCTCGGCCGCCAAAGTGCAGGGATTACAGGTGTGAGCCACCGCACCCGGCCCCTTTCTTTCTGGTGTGCCCATGAGCCTGTCATGAGGTCCCCTGGACTGGCCTGCTAATTGTGTTCTCCAAATGTTCTGTCTCTTCGAGGTTTTGTTCTTATTTCTGGGAGATGTTCTCGTTCGCCAAGCAGTCTACTGAATTTCCACCATCAGTGTTTTGTCTTTTGTGTGCTGCTTCACCTGTGCCTCTCGCCGGGGCTTTCCATGGGTGGCTGGTCATCCTGGGCTGGGCACCAAGTGCAGAGTGAGGCCTGGGAGCCCTGGGCAGGGGGCTGGGCAGGCCGAGTTGTGGCGTTTCCCGGGGGCTTCCTCCTGACGGATTTCTAGTTCCCTCTCGGGATGCCATCCTGGCTGCCGGGACCCTGTGGGCCTTCCGGGTGGGGCAAGGAGCCCTGGGTCGTGGTCACTGCGGGCCTGTCTGCCTGAGCCACTGCTGGGGTGGGGGTCCTGCCGGCTGCACCCTGGGGAGTGAGTGACGGGTTTTCTCCACCGTCCTTTGTCTGGCCTGTAACCCAGTCTCTCTTGGAAGCCTGAAGTCCGTTGTCCACTGTGCCTTCCTCAGGCCCGTCCACGCCGTCCCTCATTTCCCTACACAGCTGCCCTCGGTCTCTGTGGCCCCTCCTCTCAGCCCAACGGGGCCAGGCAGTGTTGAGGCGGCGGGGAGCAGGGGGCGGGTGTGGCTCTGTGGGTGGACATTGTCTCCCTTTGGTCCTTTCTCCCCCTCATAGGAGGAGGGAGCTGCTCAGGGAGTCAGTCTGCTGTGCCCTGCTGAGGGGCTGTGTGTGCCTGCCTTGTCTGTGGCGGACACCCGCCCAGGGCCACAGAGGGACCCTGAGACAAGCTGCCAAGGCCGAGCCTTGGGGAATGGCCCCACCCGAGGGTCCTGAGCAGCCGAGAATATGTATGCGTCAGAGCTTGGGCTTTGCGGCGTTGGCCTCCCCCGTGCCCCCAGGACCAGGACGCCCAGTCAGTGGAGTGCCAGGCATGCCTGCACCCTTGCAGGGCTGAGGGCCCCACAGGGTCGTGGGGTGAGCCTTATGCTGTGCTGAGGCGCAGGGTCCGAGAAATAAAGAGACAGGACACAGAAGTACAAGGAAACCACAGCTGGGCTCGGGGGCCACGCCACCTATAAGCGGAGTTAGGGGAGGCCCCGAATGTCCAGAAGCGTGAGTATTTATTGTGTATAGGTTAGGGGGCAGGGCAGTGAGTGAAGTCATCTTTAAGGACAGTGATAGGGTCGTGAGCAATAAAACATGGGGTCCACCCCCATTAGGTCACCTAGGCCAGGAGGTGGACAGTGCACAGCAAGGGGCCGATTCCCATGAAGGCAAGGGCCGTGTGCAGTGAGGGGTCCACCCCCCATTAGGTCACCGAGGCTTGGAGGTGGGCCGTGCGCAGTGAAGAGGGTGCAGTGTGTGATACTTCTATCTATGGGAAACTACTTCTAAGAAGATTTATAGGAGGATGCTTTAAGTCACACAGCAGTGACAGAGCTGTCAGGGTTACCGCCACCTTCTGGCAGCTTCCAGTGGGTTCTGTGGGAAGATGCTTTTCGAGCAGCACAGTAGCTAGAGCTGATAAAGTTCACAGTCACCAAGGTGGATTGCCGGTCCGAGGGCACCTTCCACAAGAACTGGAGCAAGGTCCTACAGCTCCTTTATCAGGAGGAGTGGCTCTTGCCCCAAGCCTGCCATACAGCGGGTATCTTTACGATACTGAACGCTGCCGCCTGGGCCGTGGATTCTTGTCCTGGTATAACTGTTTTCCCTTAAATCATGCTCTGCACTGTGTCTGCTCTAGGCATTCCTCCGATTATGAGCTAAGATATAATTATAGGTATATATGTAGGGAGATATTCTTTAGGCATTCATACTATCAACTATTATATGATTATAAAGAGGATTATATAAAGGGAGACTTCAAGCCCTATTTCTGTAAACTATTACAGGATTGTATAAAGGATTAAATAGAAGGAAATAGCTGAGTAGTAACGCTGTAAAGTGAGACAGTCCTCAAGCCCTAACTGTCAGAGTTCTGCTTAGCTCTCGTTCCTCGGTGCCTGCATGGGGGGTTACCCACACACCTGATCCCCGTCCCGCTCCACCCAGGCTGGGGGACTGTGACGTGAGTGACAGCAGCTGCAGCAGCCTGGCCGCAACCCTGTTGGCCAACCACAGCCTGCGGGAGCTGGACCTCAGCAACAACTGCTTGGGGGACGAGGGCATCCTGGCGTTGATGGGGAGCGTGCGGCAGCCGGCCTGCCTCCTGGAGCAGCTGGTGTACGTGCCTGCGCGTGGGCGGGGCCGGGCGGGGTGTGGGCGTGCCTGGGCTGTGCGGGTGGGGGCCGGATGGGGTGTGGGCGGGACGGGGTGTGGGCGTGTCAGGGGTGGGTGGGGGCGGGCAGGTGTGGGTGGGGCTGGGCGGGGTGTGGGCGTATCTGGGCTGTGTGGGCGTGGCCGGATGGGGTGTGGGCGTGTCGGGGGGGTGGGTGGGGCCGGGCGAGGACACCTTCTTATGCCTCCCTTCTGGCCCGTGCAGCCTGTACGACATCTACTGGTCTTTGGAGATGGACAACCAGCTGCAGGCCCTGGAGAAGGAGAAGCCGTCCCTGAGGATCATCTCCTAAGACGCTTCCTCCCCGCCGGGCTCCTGAGACCCGCTCTCCCTGGACAACCGGCCTCAAGGCACCCCTGGGCTCTCACCCTGCGTATCTTAGATCTGAAGAGAAACGCTTAGATCAGCTTATTTCTCCTAGTATATTTTGGACACTTCATATTCATTAAAACACTTTCTTGGCAGGAGGGGCTCTTGTCCTTCCTGGGGTCCCTGTGAGGGTGCTGGTATTGGGTGCACCATGCCACTTGGCATGAGCTGCTCTCTGCCTAAGTTGCTTCACTCTTGCCAGGTTGCCCAGGCTGGTGCTCTTGGTCTTGGCCTCCTGAAGTGCGGGTGTTACAGGTGTCAGCCATTGGCCTGGCCCAATAAAGCTCTTTAAAGTGACCTGGGGCCAGGCGTGGTGGCTCACGCCTGTAATCCCAGCACTTTGGGAGGGAGGCCGGGGTGGGCAGTTCACTTGAGGTCGGGAGTTTGAGACCAGCTGGACCAACATGAAACCCATCTCTACTAAAAATACAAACATGAGCCGGATGTGCTGGCCGGTGCCTGTAATCCCAGCTACTTGGGAGGCTGCGGCAGGAGAATCGCTTGACCCTGGGAGGTGGAGGCTACAGTGAGCCGTGATTGCACCACTGCACACCAGCCTGGGAGATGGAGTCTGAGACTCCACCTCAAAAAAAAAAATAAAACACGTAACCCAGAATCTTAGCGTCTAAGTAACCGTGACCCCCAGTGAGAGGAACAGGGCTCTTTGGGGAAATGGGTGGTGCCAGGCCTGCCTGGGGTAAGACACCCAGGGTGAGCCTGGACTGGCTGTTGGTGTGAGGAACTGGAGCCCGTGGGTGCTGTCTGGGCCTGATGAGCTGCCAGGAGGGCTCCCAGGGGCTGCGACCGGGACTGCGAGGAGGGCGCCACCTCCACCCACCCACCCAGACACGTGGCTTGGTGTGAGCGGGGACACAGCATGGAGTGACAGATGGGGAGGTGTGGGACTCGGGGTGTGCGGGAGGGGAGGGGCCCCTGCAGTGGGAAGATGAGGTGGCATTTTCTCCTGAGGGGTCCTACTGCCACCTGCACAGGGCAGAATGCTGAGGCCCTGCATATCCTGCAGAGGCGGACAGGGCAGGGTGGGGCAGGGCAGGCTGCAGAGGCCAAAGGTGTGAGTGGCCGTGACCGTGGTGAAGGGACTTGCTGGGTGAGGCTCCGTGGCCACAGCACGCCACCCTATGGAGCCCAGGAAGCTGCTCCATATTCCAGCCTCATGACTTAACGGGTTGAGACTTTCCCCAAAAGCAGTATCAGTAAAGCTCTTTGAAGCCTGGGGCCCGAGGAAGGGCAGGGGCTGAGGGTGCATCTGGCTCCCAGGGTCCCCCTAGGCTGTGTCCAACCTGCCATCCACACCCCGTACCCCATGCCCACGGCGAGGAACGGTGCCCAGGAGACCCTGTAACCTGCCACCCACACCCCGTACCCCATGCCCACGGCGAGGAGCGGCGCCCAGGAGACCCTGTAACCTGCCACCCACACCCCCTACCCAATACCCATGGCGAGGAGCGGCGCCCAGGAGACCCTGTAACCTGCCACCCACACCCCCTACCCCATGCCCACGGCGAGGAGCGGCGCCCAGGAGACCCTGTAACCTGCCACCCACACCCCCTACCCCATGCCCACGGCGAGGAACGGCGCCCAGGAGACCCCTTTTCTTCCCACTTGTGTTTGCAAATTTTCACGGTAGTTTTAAGCATAGTGGTCTGGCCAGGTGGGGTAGCTCAGGTCTGTAATCCCAGCACTTTGACAGGCCAAGGTGGACGGATCACCTGCGGTTGGGAATTCAAGACCAGGCTGGCCAAGCTGGTGAACCCCGTCTCTACTAAAAATACTAAAATTAGCCAGGCGGAGTGGCGGTTACCTGTAGTCCCAGGTACTTGGGAGGTGGAGGTTGCAGTAAGTGGAGATCACGCCACCACACTCCAGCCCGGGAGACAGGGCAAGACTCCATCTCAAAAAAACTGGCCTGAGAAGGCAGCGGCCCCTCCCCAGGCATCCTGTGTCCACTGGCCAGCGGTCTCCAGCCCGGCCTCCCAGTGAGGAACAAACGCGGCAGGGGTGGGTGGACCTGGAGCCCCAGCAGAGGGGCTGCTAAGTCCTCCCGTCCTTTGTGTGGTTTTCCCCAAGTGGGCACTGGGCATGAGCGCAGGCCGGGGAGGCTGCACCCGACCCCAAAGCAGGACACGGGGAGCCACAGGGAGGGCTGAAGCCTCGGACTTCCATCACTTTATTGGTTCTGTTTGTTCGTGAAGATGACCCTCGACTCAGAGCCGTGGAGGCAGCAGGGCCCCGGCTCTGCCTGGATGTCCCAAAGGCCAGTCCAGTGACCTCTAGCCCCATCCACACGTCCTCCAGGGCAGTCTGTGAAAGGAAGACTCGGAGGAGATGGCTCAGCGTCACTGCTGGATCTGCTGCTCTCAGCCACGGAGTGTTTGTGGACGACGCCCCACAGGTGCTGGGAGATGCACGTGGGGCCAGCATAGGCTCCTCTGGGCCTCAGTGCACCTGGGGCCCACAGAGTGCAGAAATGGTACCGAGATGTCCCTGCCTGGGCCACACCACAGCTGGGTGACAGAACTTGGTAGGCCAGAGGCCACGGGGCTGACTGGGCAGAAGGGGGAGGGAGGACCTGGTTCCTGAGGGATCCGCTGTCCCAGAGCACACCCTTGCCACGCCAGCCAGCTCCCGGCTCTGGAGAAGCCTCGGAGCCGAGAGCACACGTGCATGCCACAGGTGGCCACACGAGCACACACGCACACATGCGTGCACACGGAGAGACTGCGCCGGGGTCGCCTCCACCCTTGCCCTGAGCCTTGCCAAGCACATGGAGAAAGGGAGAAGAGAGCCTTGAGGGCGAGGCCAGGTGCGTGGCTCCCGGTGGGACTCACAAGGGAGGTGGCCACAGAGGCTGGGGCTCTGGGAGGCTCGTGAGGCAGCCACGACCCAGGTCAGTTTGGAGCTGGTGCTCCCTCGCTCTCTGCCGCCCTGGGCCCCAGCAGGTCTTCGTCCAGCCCTGGCGGGTGCTGGTCCCCATTGCCGACGGCGCTGCCTGGGTCGTCCCTGTTCTGCTGCTTCTGCCGCCGGGTCTCCTTGTACCTCAGGGTGATGTCTCTGGGGGCAGGGGGCGGCGTCACCACCTGCTCCCACACCAGCCCCCCATGGGCCCACGGACACCTGGCACCTCGTCCCTGTGGAGGTCCAGGATGGGCTGGGTGGGGGCCGGGTACCCTGGCACTGGATGGCAGCCGTGGCCTGGATCCATTCGTGCAGAGCGATGGCCCGAGGGCTGGGTCAGGAAAGGCCCAAGCGGGCGCACCCAGGTGGAGGGGGGCCCACTCCCACAGAGGCAGCCAGAGGGCTGGGGCACAGATGGCGAGACACCAAGACCACCCAGTTCCCGCGGCCCCTGCGCCAGGAGACCCGGAGAGCCGCCCTCCTTCGGGACCAGCTGCCCCGCCCCGCCCCGTCTCGCTCACCGCAGGAAGAAACGCCAGACGGTCCAGGTGAGCACCAGGACAGAGCCGAGGGTCCAGCACTGGGAGATGTAGAAGGGCAGGGACAGGGTGAGCGTGTGGGGGTCATACTTGACCACGATGAGCAGCTCCGTGGCCGTTATGGCTGCCACCAGCCAAGCCTGCTGGCCCAGCTTCTTGTGGGGCTTCCTGCAGGGGCAGCAGCGGGCTCAGCATCCCCAGCCCCACAGTGTCCTGCAGGCGGCCTCGCCTAGGCCCCGGCCTCCTGAGCTCCGCTCCCCCACCCCCCGCCCATGGGAGCGTCTCCACCCGGCTCTCGGCAGCCCTCACGGGTCATCCATGAAGTCGTAGATCTCACGCATGGCCACGCCACCCACGTTCACGAAGAACACGAGCCGCAGGAGGACCAGGTAGTGCTCCGGGGGCATCCACAGCACGAACTTCAGGTAGAACGTGTTCAGTTCCGCCAGCAGGAACTAGTGGGAGGAGGGGTGAGCACCAGCTCTGCTCGGGACCCCTGCCCACCGCGCCGTCGTGAGGCAGCCCAGCCTTACCACCAGGATGATGCCACACACGGCCAGCCAGCGACGCAGGCTGGAGGCTGGCTTCCACTCAAAGCGAACCCAGCTGTAGGGCGTGAACTGGAAGGCGATCCTCTTCATCTTGCCCCTGGGAACCACAGAGCCAGAAGCCTGAGGACGGCGGCCCACCAAACCCTGCCCTGCACGTCGCCAGCTCTGCTCCTGGTCACCCAGCCACACCCTACGCCATCAGACCAGCTCTGCTCCTGGTTCTCATCCCTGCCCTATGCCATCAGACCAGCTCTGCTCCTGGT